GCGGCCTTAAGAGTCTCACCCCTCTTCAGGCACTTCTTTCACCCCAAGCAAGCTACATATTTTCTGAAAGCAGAGGACGAGGCGGTTCCAATGGTGATTATTCATTGGTACAAGATGTTCATCAACAAAAATTATGAACTTTTTATGTCAGTATCTTAAAAATTCCCAGGGATCACCGCCTCGTCCTCCACTTCCAGAAATCGCTAGAGCACACCCTTCACCAGGCACTTCTTTGAACGGATCTCAGACATGCTATAAATCATTTGAAAACAAAGGACGAGGCGGTTTCGATGGTCGCTATTTTCTTGTACCAGCTATTCATCCACAAAATTTATGAATCTTTTTCATGTTAAAGGGTTTGTAAGTGTTCGGAACTCACTAGGCACATCTTTCACTGAGCACTACTATACAGGGTGTCCCAAAATAATGTGCACACTGTTTGATTTTGAATAACTCTTTTATTATGAGGTCTTTCGAGAAGCGGTAAGCGCCATTTTGTAGAGCTGGCTTCAACTTAGATTTGCACTATTGAACGAGTCACTCATCCCTCTTCATTACTGTAGGATTACGGTAGAAACTTCAAAGAGGGTTTTGGGCCATGAAAGGTCATATTTTGCCTCAGAAACGAATCAATGCAGCCTAAAAACTTTTACACTAGGCTAATTAGAGTTGCTGATTTTAACTGTAAAGTTTCCATCGTATTATGATGCTTCACTGAAGAGTTATGCGAGGTAAGCAGTAGCAGCCATTTTCTCAATGTTCTTAAAAAGTGCGGTTACACCGTTTAGAAGACTTCGCAATCTTGAGATTAGTTGAGTATGGAACTCAGGGTCCCTAAAAACCCTATTACACAAGTTTTCACATCTTTTCGAAAATTTTTGAAACGGCAGCTTTTTCCACAGTGACACCATATGTTCCAAGTTTCTACCGTAATCCTACAGTAATGAAGAGCGGTCGGTGATTCGCTCTATACTGTAAATCTAAGTTGGAGCCAGCTCTACAAAATGGAACTTACCGCTTCCCGAAAGACCTCATAACAAGAGAGTTATTCAAAATCAAACAGTGTGCACATTAATTTGGGACACCCTGTACAAACTCTAGGCAAACTGTTTATTCCCTTAAAACAGAGGGGAACATTGTCCCACGGAACTTTTATCGATATCGTTGCTGTGCAGCTACAGAAGCTACTATTTTTTCCTCCTCGAAATTCGTGAATGCCTATAAATCTTCTTCCTCTTTTCCGATAAACAAAAAAATTCCCGTACAAATATCTCCTTTGCTTAATCTTACCTCACTATTGATTTTTTCCTCGACTTTTGGTGAAGGGGGTCATCTTGGTCCCGGTTCAGGGGTGAAGAGGGGGTGAGCAAATTCTTACGCTATCGCACCTAGGCTAGAGCCAGAGGCGAGGAATTTGGCAAATTACTTGATGGGGAAAACATGGTAGTCTTGTTACTTGATGGTAGTCAGAGACAAAAATTTTTTTGCATACTTAGTCTCTCTTCGAATTCTTCAACAAGGATCAGCTTTGCTCTTCATTCCTTATGAACATGCTTCATATCTTAACAATCACGCACCATGAGTTTGAGCGGCCTGAAAATTTGGCCAAACTGCCAGGGTATGCTGCGCACGCTAGACCTCCTGTCAAGAGTGTCAAGAAAACGCATGTGTGCTTTTTTTGTTTGCTAGGCGTAGCAGTCTGACCATACCGTAAGGTACAAGTTTACTAAAAAAATAAGTTGTAAGTGAAAAAATTGATGATTTCTCTTATACCAACTTAGCAATCTCCACCAATCTATAAGCTCCTGCAAGACGAAGGCGGTTGGTTCGAGGCGCGACGTGGCTGTGACGCGGCTGTGACGCTGCTGTGACGCAGCCATGTCGCAGCCGCGTTGCACATCGAACCGACCACCTTCGTCTTGCAGGAGCTTATACCTTTCCTTTGCATGCCATTTTGGATATCCACTGCGGGAAATGAAAAAGTTTAGATTGTTAAAAACAATCTTCATGTAGCGTTGCGTGTTTGTTTGAGACAGGTTTTCAAATACTTTCTAAATGCTACTTCTCAAATGCAAAGCAATATGCAATAAAAAGATTATCTTATATATAAAGCTGAATGTCTGTTTGTCTATATGTATGTCTGTCTGTCTGTATGTCTGTACGTATGTTCCGAATAGAAAATTCCATTTCTGAACCAATCCGGACCAAACTTGGCACACATATACTTCGGGCCCCGGCGGGTGTCATAAGCTACTTTTCGTCATCGATCGATATCGATTTTATCGATTTTTATCGATTTTTTTGCAGAGTTCACCTACGGGGCTGGGAGTTGGCACAGGGGGGTAAGTGGGCATGGGGATTCCGAATACAATATTAGTTTTTGAAATCTTCCATTACTTTTATCGATTTCATCGATTTTTTGTGAAGTTTAACCTGCGGGGCTGGGAGTTTGCATAGGGGGGGGGGGTAATCGAGCATGCTGATTACGAATACAATATTAGTTTCTGAAATCTTCCATTACTTTTATCGATTTTATCGATTTTTTGCAAAGTTTGAGCTACAGGGCTGGGAGTTGGCACATGAGGGGTAAGTGGGCATGCTGATTTCGAAAACAACACAGGGAACGGGAAATGAAGTGTAGAAGTGGGCACAGGGAAAGGCTGTACAGGGATAAAGATGAGACCTTTATTAAAGTGTTTTCACAGGGTCGGGCGGAGCCGGGTAAGCAAGCTAATCTTATATATAAAGCTGAATGTGTTTGTATGTCTGTATGTCTGTCTGTACATATGTTCCGAATAGAAAATTCCATTTCTGAACCGATCCGGACCAAACTTGGCACACATACACATCGGGCCCCGTCGAGTGTCATAGGCTACTTTTCGTCATCAATCGATATCGATTTTATCGATTTTTATCGATTTTTTTGCAGAGTTCACCTACGGGGCTGGGAGTTGGCACAGGGGGGGAATCGAGCATGGGGATTCCGAATAGAATATTAGTTTTCAGGATTGTTGATTATTTTTATCGATTTTATCGTTTTTTTGCAAAGTTTGAGCTACGGGGCTGGGAGTTTGCACAAAAAGGTAATCGAGCATGGGGATTCCGAATACAATATTAGTTTTCAGGATTATTGATTACTTTTATCAATTTTATCGATTTTTTTGCAAAGTTTGAGCTACGGGGCTGGGAGTTGGCACAAGGGGGTAATCGAGCATGCTGTTTACTAAAACAGTGGGAATAGTGATTTGGCATGTAGGCCTGGGCACAGTGAAAGGTCCGTACAGGAGTAGGGATAGTGTTCTTTGACATAGTGTTGACAGGGCCGGGCGGAGCCGGGTAAGCAAGCTAGTCTAAATATATAGTGAAGTAATCTACACCTTGTTCTTATCTGACAAATCTCGAAAATCCTATCGATTTTTTTAAAATAGTCGCGTGCCATTTCCAAGACTTTATCGTTTTGAAAATGTATTATATTCTTAGCGCTTTTCCGTACTGTGACAAGTTGAACTGCGTCAGTACACGAACTATTGTGAAAACAAAGACGACTCTTGAAAAAGTAGAATTATTGTACAACAGTGAATAGCAGCGATTACTAAAGACAACACTAACTCACGGAACTGCAAACATTTGATGCAAATAATATTTTGCTCGCAAATCAGCATCGCACACCGACAAACGGTCCTAGATTAAGTATACAAATACACATGTACGAATCACATTTGTGGGAAGATTGATAACAATCAGACTAAAAGTCTTTATTCTCAAACAGACATAAAACCGCAGCTTTTGAACTATGTCGTTCCACAAGTTCTTAACGTCTTCATTTTTGTCATCGTTTTCTGGTGAAGCAGTTGGTTTGCGGCAAAGCATCTGAGATTATTCGAAAAAGTCAAATTTGCTCTACAAAACCTGCCTTTTATTTTCGAAGCAATCTTAATGATCTTTGGTTTATAACTCATCAAAGTAAAGTTTTTTAGGTTGCAGAAAATAGCGATTTCGACATCTGTGATTTTCGCATTTTGTCTATCTCACAAGTATCTCTACGCATGTATAGTCGGAGTAGCTAGCAAGCAAGTTTGATGTGCTGACACAGTGGTGTCCAATCAATATGCTAAGAGCTGTTTGCACGAGGTCTCAATAGTTGCAGTCTTGACTGCTGCTCCTTGAGTTTTACGCGTTGTATTGCAACAGAATTTCCCGTCCTGTTCACTTAGACAAAGCTGTTCATCGTCTTTGAACGATGAACAGCTTTGCCTAAGTGGCGCGAAAGTTTGAAAGCAAGCACTGGCCAGCGATTTCAATGCTTTTCTAATGAATTCTGGCTTAGCGCTTAACTCCCCCATTCGCGTCAAACGCAAAACATCTACAATACAGTAATGGGGGCATGGGTACCATCTCCATGATCACATCTTTAAATTCTGACAACTGTAATCTAGAGCAGTCACATACAAACTCAGTCAACATATAATTGTTAATCAATTCGAAAGTTTAGACCTAATCTTCATGGTAGACTTTGATTGCGGTTGTATGAGTAACTCGTGTTCTTTTTGTTCTATTTGTAAGGGACGCTAGAGCGGTATTGAATAAATAAACAAATAAATACGGTGAAAGTGCACTCCCTTCTCTATAGTGTCTCCTTCAACAAAAAGTCTACTTCTATTTGCATCATAGTCCGGTAAGCAGTCTTTTCTCATCACTCATGACAATTTCACATGAAAAACTCCCTCTAATGATTTTTGTATACGGGGCCAAAGATGCAGATGTCCAAAAAGCCATTCTTTCTTACAAAAAACTTCGCTTTGAGCAGTTACAACGCGAAGGTCATCAGGTTTACTTCAAAAATAAAACGCAGATTTCGTAAAGCAAAATCGGCTCTTTCAAATAATAGGGCAACTCTGTCGAAAACCGACCGCTTCACCATTTAAGGACGATGAAAATAAAAGCGCTACGAACTTATGGAACGACCTAATAAATAGAAGAGGGACTTTGTCATTTCGTAGATGCATGCGGGGGAACGCTGGTTTCGAGAAGACATGTCATTACCGCAGCTCATTGTTTTTGGAAGTCGAAAGAGAAGGGAATGGGGTATTGCAGGTAAAGAATGTTTAATAAGGATGACATTCTTCATTTTCGCTTCAGTACCTCAAACATGTACCGTCTGAAAGATGCGATACATGACACAGAGGTTTTTATTGGTGGAACTTGCTCTTCAGCAGGCAGATTTGGCTGCACTAAGTCAGATATCGGCCGAAAGTACAAAGTTGCGCGGTAGGTCTCATTCGAAATCGCTGCGGTTAAGTGCCTTTGCAGTTATAATGCCACCTCAATTAAATGCATATTAAGCGCATTTTACTGGAGTTACTTCATGTTTGGCTGCGGAGGAACTCATGATATAGCTATTCTTGAGTTGACAGAAGATGTTCCGAAGACGATTAATCATATCTGCCTTCCTTTTATGCACCATGTGGAAGAGCTTGAAGATCCCTACCTAAAGCTATGGTCATTCGGATGGGGAGTAGACCGTAAGATTCTTTCTCCTATAATAAGTCATAATCAATACCGTTATTACAGCTCTGAACCATGCCGGGAAGTGCTCGCCGTACCTGCAGATAGCGGATTTAGGTGCGATATTGAATTCCTTAGTAAACCGGACAGAAATACATTGAAGGTGTGAAATTGCCGAAAGAAACGTGCGACAGAATGAAACGTTTTAAAGCAGAGGATACGTTTTGCACCATTTCCAGTAAACAACCTGTTTGCCAAGTAAGCATTTCCCACCACGCCCAAAGTTTCATGCCTCTAATCTATGGAGCTGAATCTATACTCGATCATTATTACAGTTATTGGACGGGATATAGGCCCTTCTGCACCGGTCCGTCCTAGCGGTAATCAATCTCCTCTAGAGCGGCGCCGATTATCTCGGTTTTTTTTATAATCTAACAGGGTTTTTAATCTTGCAAGAGAAGAATACTTGGTGACCCCGGCCATTCATAATAGTTTGTAAACCAAAAAATGCTCCTTTTAATGCTGGTTCGAAAACTGTTTTCCATATCTGCGAAACGAGAACCTGAATGGAGTTATAATTGTTTTTTCAAATACGAATTGCCCTAATGCGGAGGGTGAAAATCATTGATAAATTCTTTTTCTCTTCAAATGCTGAATATGATTTAGGTATAAATACAACGTTACGTTTCTCAAGACTCTCCTCAATAGCTTCAAAATGTAAAATAGATCAAATTGGATGATTTGAACTACCTAAAAGTACGCAAACTTTCTACGAAAAAAATTCATAACTGCCTTCAAATGATAGTTCTGCAGATTTTGAGCATGGATTTAGAATCAGCATTTCGAGGTTACTTATGGTATACATCGCATTCCACATGGCCAAGGTCACCAAATATTCTTTCCTTGGTAGACTATCTTAAAGCAAATGCACATTTTCGACCAGTAATAGAGAGGGTTTTACTTGTGACAAGACTTTGTGGAGGTGGAGTTTTTTGCTCTCAGTTTCGTAATTTCCTCCCCCACTTTAAGTTTTTCAAACAATCGTAAAATCTGTATGTTTAACCTAAAAACCTACTCAAGTTACCCAAATACATCATTCTTTGTGCTTGATCTAAATCTCAAGCTCTTTTTTATTCTTTCTCTGGGAGTGTTTTTACGTAATTGTCCACTTTGGAAAGCCTGCGTCTCTAACTACAGCCTCGCTCTCTTGAGGCAGCGCTGACCACTACAGGAAACGGTCAGAAGTCGAAGTGGCCAACTCAGGCAAGCTGCCCACCATTCGATGCAGCATTCAACGCTGACATCGAATCTGTATTTCGTAACTGCTTACCGCCTTTGTGGACGAAGTTATGAACAGTTTTATTGAGAAATGATCTTACATATTGCAAAATTGAGCACAGTTGTACTTTCAACTATCTTTAGGCTTTGAAAATGTAAAGTAAGCTAGCTGCATGTTTTGGCCTTGCATCTAGTCAAACGTGGCTCCGCATTGTCAACCTTGCGCTTTGCATGCACGATTTTTGAAAAAACAGTCTTTGAAGGCTCGTGATTTCGTTCACATAGGCGCAACCAGATGTGGAATTTAGATATGAAGTCAAATCAGTGTTTTATGCAGCATTGCATGGTATAAAGTTTGTTTGGATTGGCCACTTCCATTTCTAACCATTCCCTTGCTAGAGGGGAGCAGTAATCGGGCCGCTAAGACCAGCGGTGCAGAAGTTACGTTCCCAACAGGACCTTTTTTGAGGGTTCCTTTATACTACGCAGCAGGACGCGACGTGCTGCAGCGCACGCCGCAGAACGCAGCAGCCTGCCGCAGCACGCGGCAGCACGCAACAGCACGCCGCGTCCTGCGGCGTGCGCGGTTGCAGTCGCAGTGAAAACATAAGTTCGCTCGCTGTGAAGGAACCTCTCGGACAACACGAACGTGCAGCAAATAAGATGTACATCCATAACCGGCGAAGCTGTGCTGCCGTGAGCGTATATTTTCACTGCGACTTCAGCGGCGCACCCCGCAGGACGCGGCGTGCCTCCACGTGCTGCCGCGTGCTGCGGCGTAGTATGAATGAACCCTAAGGAACAACGCTTGCATCAGAAACTGCTTACTTAGTTCAATTTCTTTGACTGATTCTAAACTTTTTTTGATAAAAGCCATATTTTTAAAGACAAACTAATCTGATTGCGCGCAACCGCGTGCATGAGTGAAGCAAATTTCATAGCTAATAACCTTCGGTGATCTTGATCTTGTATATGCAAAGAGTAGTTTCATTTTCTATACAAATTCAGAAGAAAAGCGCCGCTTAATATTGCCGCATATTTGTGAAAGCGAGCTAGAGTGTTGGCGTTGGTAAATGTTAGCATGAACCGGATTTGGTAAAGCAGACGCGTAACGTTGACCAACTAAACTGTAGCCTTTGTAAAATGGTTTGCTGCAAATGGCAATCTTGAGAGCTGCATTTCATAAGTGTATCAGATGGGTTCAGCTATCTAAGTACGTCCTTCGGATTGTCGTTATGACTGCACAGATTGAATGTTTTCCGGTGGTACTGTGACTTCGACCATGGAAAATAGATAGCGATTTTGAAATGGTTGACATTTGATTTTTGCAAAGAATGGATAAAAACCATTGCATCGCTGCTTCTTAAGCGTCATTCGTGCCATCCGCTCACTCACACTACCTACTTGTTTACTTGGTTACATTATACAGTGCTGGCCAAAACTATAATTCCACCCTGAAAACTGCCGTAACTCATCTGCTTTTCAATGAATTGATCTGAAATTTGGTACAGTTGTGTGTTTAAAGGGCTACCATCAGTAACCAGAACGGATCCCGTTTTTGCTTGATTAATCAGGAAAAAATCAAAATTCCGAAAAAAGCAGGTTGGAAGATTGGCCAAAACTATAATTCCACCTAAGGTTTGTGTCCACTAAAATAATTCTCGGCTTCCAAAGTATTTTGTGCATATACATAATCAAAAGTCAAAACAGTCGCTTTAGTTCAGCTGTGTCATATTTTCATAAGGAACGCTATCTATCTTTATCTGCTTTTTTTGCCTGAAAATACTTTCATGCGTATTTCGTTCCCGTAATGTGTCTTTATGGGTAAATTCGCAGTTTTTTCGGCTGGTTTGGAAGCGATGGGGCTGTATCTATTTTATAGATGCTTAGCGAAGTGAGAACTGGAAAAAAATCGGAGTTTTCGTATTTAAAGCGCACCCGACACAGACCTTACAGCAAGCCTGCGCTCAAATTTTTGCCTCCAAAATTGGTTTATGTTATTTTTGTAAGCTCAAAATGATGTAAGGCAAACAAAAGAAGTTTGTACACTATGCGACTGTTGACCAAATCACACGACTTGCGATTGTTGACCAAATCACATTTTCCTTCGTCTTTAAAGCATAAATCTTCGCGGTTCAATGATATTCAGGCAATCCCAAAATATTAGGTTGATTCAAATCAATGCACGTTTTTCGAAATTCATATTCAAAGCGTCGTAATTCGTTTCCCACGTCATCTTTCAAAGAGCAATAAGAACTGTTGCAGAGAGCAAATCCTTGACTTTACAACATATATTTTTGTTCATAGATAAATGTGACGAGAAAGTTTGTACAATCCGAAAAATGCCAAGAATTTTTTTTAGAAACCTCTGTTTTGAGAAAGCATAACTTACTCTCAAAGGTAGGAGGAAAGCGCAAACTTTGCTCATTGCGCAGCCAATGGTCAAGAGAGAAGTGGCAAAAAACCTGGATTTTACAGTATTTTTCTACGACGAGATACTGCTATAAGTTCAAAAGTGATCATTTTTTCTAGCTTTTTCAGAAGAACGAAAAATTGTCTTTTTTAAGAATTTTTAAATTTTTTGCCACTGAAAAGCTGTAAAATTTCACCGTTTTCTATCACTCAATGTGCTATGTCTATTCTTTGTGCACAAAGCAAAATCGCTATCATTGGTTCTTGTTTCAAAGCTCTTTACGAATTTGAAAGGCCACAGTGACCGGCCAAGTTTGTGGTTGAATCTCTCATCTCAGAACTTTTGCAAAATTCTGCTTTATAGAGATTTCTATAGAAGAAATCTTCGCCATCGTTAGGCATATTTTTTGAAATCAACATCTTTTGTCCTCATGAAATTAGAGCAAGAAGAATGAAAGGAAAAAATTTCGAGTTTCTGTCTCTCATATTCCGAAGCGTGGAATTCGGTATCATACAGAGTGTCACGAAAAAGAAGGGTTACACAAGAAACTAGAAGAAACGCTCTTTCAGATAGCATTGAAATTTTTGGAAAAGTTTCAGTATCCTTGAAAAACCAGCGCTTGGAAAAAGAGGTAACAAAAACGTGCATTATTCATGAATCAACCTAATACTTACCAAGTGGTACCTTTCCTGATTTTTTGCCACTATTTAGCTTCTAGATAGTGAAAACACCTTGCATTGTATGATGCCTTGTGACTCACGTGAGCATTACGATCGAGCCAAGAACCAGTTCAAGGCTTTTTGCAAATCAGTTTTTGCAGGATGAATTCCTCAATTAGCCTGCATGCTAAGACCCGCGGAAATCTGCAACTACTGCATTCGGACTCTCACACGCACAAACAGTGTTATTACTCTACTTCACGCTCATAAGAACATTGCAGAAGGAGTTTGAGGGCATAAAATTGAGCGCAGGCCTGCGGTTAGCTTTATGTCGGTTGCGCTTTGGATGTGAAAACTCCGATTTTCTTCTAGTTTTTACTTCGCTAAGCATTTATAGGATAAATGCAGCCCTATCGCTTCCAAACCAGTCGAAAAACCGCGAAATTACTCATAAAAACACATTTTTGGGAACAATTACGCATGAGAGTATTTTTAAGCGAAAAAAGCAGAAAAACGTTTCTTATAAACTTATGACACAGCTTGACTGAAGCGACTGTTTTGACTTTTAATTATGTGTATGCACAAAATACTTTGGAAGGTGTGAATTACTTTAGTGGACAGAAACCATAGGTGGAATTATAGTCTTGGCCACCCTTCAAACCTGCTTTTTTTCGAAATTTTTGATTTTTTAAGATGCCTTTTATTTTAAAAAAAAGCATTTGTGCAACCTTTATGGTGCACTCGAACGGAGCTTTTTCCTTAACTTTTTCGGCTTCTTCGATACCAGTTCGATACATCTTACATGATTTCTCCAACACCGAATGCACCTCTGACTGAACAAATGCGATTTCTAGAGTAATGATTTGGATAAAAAAGAACTTTGCCTAAGCAAAAGCCTCGAGTGGACTCGGCCACGGCAGGCAAACACCAAGTATTTTGGTACATACCCTTTGATTCAACCAGACTAACGGCTGGAAGGCGACCGCTCGCGGTTGCGATGCAGTCTGCATCTCTCTCGCAAAAGTGTTTTTTAATCATTCTTAGCCTTACTCCTTTCAGCCGCCAATCCAATTCAATCAAAGAGTAGCTTTTGTGCGTTAGCGTTAATCAAGATGCTATGATATTCATTGATGCTGACATTTCGGCGTCCTCGGCTTTTACGCAGCCTGTAAGATTAGAAGCCACTTATAACGTGTCTTTTCACATGCAGCATCTAACCTCAAAGATCCACCCAAGAGCTCAAAAAATCAAAGCGAATAAAGGGACTGATACTACACTCAAGATTCAGACAAGATCGAATCTCAGAGTTGATGAAACAAGTACCGAATTTTTGTCACACTTAAGGTTTAGACGTGTTGTCATGAAGGTTTCGTGCGTGAGGCTTACCAGACTTTGTCACAACGAGCGCCTACCCTGGAAAGTATACGAAACAATTTTACTGGACATTCAGCCTCATCTCTACATTTGAAAGCAAACCATCTAACGAATTTTTGAGAGAAACTACCCTGGCTTCAATCATGGCTTTATCATCTTTTAAAAGAAATTTTTTGCTGCAACAAACCAACTCTCACTATCATATGGTGCGGCAATAAAAAATTTAAAGACGTACTCTGCCAGAATGTAAGAGGAAGAAATTTGTTTTCAAACAAATGCTGTTTTCTGCCTACATCCACCGCGATCTTCTATAGCTCATCCTGGTCCCTCTCAGCTAACTATGCGTTCACATCATAAGTTTCATTATCTGCATTTCTAACTTAGGGTGACAGCGGTGGAGGCCTCACTACGAGAATTCGTGGAAGAAGTTACTTGATGGGAGTAGTTTCTTATGGACCAGACTGCAATAGCATTTCTGCTGGAAAGATAGACCGTCAATCCTTGTTACAGGCAAGATAAACTTTCTTCGCATACGGCATGGTTCATGATGAAACGCGTTGTCGTTTTAAAGAGCTGAACGATAACTCGATGAAATCCGAGGTAACTTTTTGTTGAAATCATTTTCTTCCTACATGTTTTTAGGTTCACACTAATATCATGTACCACAAGAAGATTATTGAAGCATGGATTCGGACTTCATCTCGTGAAAATAATGCAGTTCTCCTGCACAAAGATGCTTGGCTAAATCTTCTGACTTCACCGTACTATTACTATCGTCCGTCCCAGCCAATAACAGGCCGAAGACGGAATGGAGCTAACTACTTTAAACAAATCTATTGAATCTATTTGATAAATTTATCTGTTTTTCTCCGGCGGCGTAGAAATAAACTATCCTGCAGATTACAGCTGAAACTTTTGAGAAAATCAAAGCAAGAGCTTCTTGAAAACACAAAGCTAATTGATTGTACTCTTGTGCGATGCATAAGTGTACAAAATTGAACTATAAGGAACCCTCTGCATTCTTGAGAGGTCGAACTTATAACTCGCTTGAAAGTGTATTGAACCAGTCAAGTCGACCAGTTGATTTGGTTTTTAATCACATGAGGTGCAAAAAATTTTCAGTTTAGTCCTAGAACGGCATGCATTAACACATCCCCGCTGGGGAGGGGATCGCAGCTTGAAAGAAAGCTTCATATTCTGAAGCTCCAGATATCTGGATTTCACGCCGTCTACTCATCAGTAAGTATTCCCATCATCCTCCATTATCAACATATTAGACAGAAGCGAGAAGCTATACGCATTTTCAGCTTTTTGTAGATCTCCTAATGATCCCCGGAGGAAACGACCGTCTACTCTCTGAAGTGGTTTTCTTTTAACAAAGTTAATGAAAACATTCCAGAGTTGTGATGCTTATCTAATTCAGCAGCTAAGCATGTTGCTGATAAGAACAAATGAAGTAATGGAATTGGAATCATGAAATTTTCGATGAACCACAGCTCGAAAGTTGGGGTTTATCGGAAATATGGATATTTCAAAAGCTCATTTTTTCTTATCAGCAAAGTGGTTAACACTGTTTGTTTAGATAATCAGCGCAACTTTGGGATGTTTTCATTAAAGGCAGCGTCCAGGCAAGTCTGGACACATGGGGATCTCACGTGAATAATAATTTTGGGGTCATAACTAAGCCGCTACTCAACCGGAGCTCAAGTAGTGTTCTAACGGCTGGGTATTCCCCTCGAAACTGGACCCCGCGATCATATTTCGCATGGATTCATGGCGCAAAGCCTGTATCCTGGCGCGAAACTGCCATGAATCCATGCGAATACGATCGCGGAGTCTAGTTTCGAGGGGAATATCTCAGCCGTTAGAGCACTAAACTGCCATGAATCCATGCGAATACGATCGCGGAGTCTATTTTCGAGGGGAATATCTCAGCCGTTAGAGCACTACCTGCGCTGCCACTTGGGCAGCGCCTTAATTAGGGCCGCAAAGGTACTTTCCACGTAAAATCTCCATAGGTCCGGAACTTCCTGGACGCTGCCCTGAACTTTGAAGAAAGAGAAATGACTTTGAAGAATGAACGGTCATCCCGGGGATTATCAGGGGATCATACAAAAAGCTGGAAAGCGGCTCGTACAGCTTCCAAACCCTTTTACCCTTATCGAAGAAATTGCATGTAAAAACTTTTTAAAAAAATCTAGCGAAATATCAGTGTCCAGTCACAATATTGGTACGGTGGCATGCTAATTCAGCGCTACTACGTAAATCTGAAGAAAGACGGCAAAATAGTTGTTGAAAGCATAATTATTAGGTTGGAAACTAAGTTTTGCAACTGGTCTCATAACTTCCCTCTCTCTCAACATGGCGTATTCAAATTTTGCCATTGCGTTGGCTAATACGTAAGCTACAAGTACAGCTGCTGTCCTGCCAAATTCTGACGTCATAGTGAGGGTTACGGTAGGTGCATGGTACGAAGGGGAAAAATTCAAAGGTTGACGGATTTGGCTGAAACTTGGCATAGGGGTGTTATTCGACACGCTGATCACGAAAACGATAGTGAAATTGCGTGATAAGGGCATTTTTGTAGGATTACTGTAGGTGCACGATATGGGGTCTCACCCTAAACAAGGAAAAAGGCGTTGATTCAACAAATGAATGTGATATTCGAGTTTGGCAGGTCAAATAACCTTACTGTGTAAAGTCTCGGCGGAATTTGAGCTTCGGACTCTTTAGTCATTGACGGTTGTCCCCAACAGCTCTTGCGTACATCGACTCGTTCGACTTTATGAGGACGCCAGATCTCGATATGCCCCTAAATTTTGTTTCTTTCTCAATAGACCAAAGGAGTCAACCTCCAGCAATAATTTGTGGACGAATCCGGATTACTGCGCATGGTCTAGGCTGCCAAAGGCTTCATTTTAGCTTGAAACCCCAAAAATTGTCAAATTTCACTAGTTTTCAAAAAACGCCTGTAACTTTTCTATTTCGTGTTCAAAATTTAGACAATTTGTGCTCGCTTGTAGCTCACATAGCCTTCTATATAATGCCAAAGTTTGAGTGCGCCATATCCAGAAAGAGCGAAGTTATGGAACCAGTTGCAAAACTTAGTTTCCAGCCTAATACATGGACATATATTATATTTATATTGAAAGCGAAAAATGTGACCAATCAAATCTCGATAAGCTCTTAATTGTATTTGACTGCTAATTGGAGTGGTTTTTTAATGTAGTTAATGAAGGAGTAGTGCATGCATTGAACGCAAAAAAAGATTGCTAGCTTACCTTTAAAACAAATTCAAGTATGTTCATAAATAACCATTTCAATTCTGTAGCCAATGTTTGGAAACACGAAAGCCGCAAAAGTTGTTTCAAAAAGAGATTTGAACTCTAACTATGAAAATGATAATCACAAATCTTGAGTTTTTATATCGTGCTTACAGTATACAACTATAGGTTGAACACAATGTGCCGTATATTGCATGGGCTTATCTGTCTTGTTAGCGAACACCATGTTATAGCTAACATCAGTTTCACCTCGATTACAACCATACCTTCGATACATAAAGCCATGTGCTCTAGTAACCTTTACTTTGAGCGTCAAGATGAAAAAATGAACAACTTTTTACCTAGAGAAAAGAGCAGAAGTCATTCGAGGCAAGGCCTCTTTTATTATAACATGACTAGGAGTGAATGTGAATGAGGCAAGCATAGTGAGTGGTATTTGAAAAAAACACAAAAACAAAAAGATTGCGTTTATGTAGAATTTTCTGCTAAAAAGGTTTTTATATTTAGTTTTTTTTGAAATTCCTCTGGAAATTAGTACGACATTCTCAGTTAACTTTTTTATAGACTGCGATTGAGTGTAGAAGTTTACGAAAGCTGTTGGAGTTCAATAACAACGAGAAACTGTGTCTTGCAAAAAAACGAGAAACTAAATTTTGCGCAGAGAGTCGCCACTGAAATGCTGGTTTATCTCCTTAGTATATTTTTTATGATTAAATGATTTCAGACATCCTCGACGTTGTCAGTGCTCCTGGTCGTGCCATAAGGATCACAACGATAAACAGGATGTCCCAAAAGTATATCACTTCAATCATCGTTATCTCTTTTTCTAAGAAGCCTTTTGCTTATTTCCAGGCGCCATTTTGTAAAGAGGCTTCAACTTAGATTTACAGTATGAAGCGAATCAATGATTGCTCTATGTTATGTAGTATTACGGTAGAAACATCAAGCAGGGTTTTGAGCCATAAGGGGCCTTATTTTACCTCAGGAAACAAACAAACAACCTGAAAAGTTAAACTAAGCTAATTCGAGCCCATAAAACCAAATATGAAGTTTGCACTTTGCCGCAATGCTTCCTTCATAAGTTACGCCAGGTAAACTGCATAGCTGTTTTTACAAAACTTCATGAAATCGTGATTACACCTCTACAAAAACTTGGCAAACTCGTAAAAAGTTGAGTAATATTAGGTCGTTCCGAAAGTAATGTCGCTTTTTTCAAACGTACGCCACATTTCGTGGAACAAAGATGTGTAAGAGATTCTGGTAGCATTTGATGCAGCATTTCATTCTCTTTCTAAAAGTTATATAACCACTGCACAAAATTCAGTAGCCTCTCGAAAATGTATCGAAACCTGCGACCAGTGCTTTTTGAGAAAACCAAGTTTCACAATTTTTCTAAATTTTTATAACAACCCCCGGAAGGAGTCCAAGTTATGTATGGATAGAGCAAACCCTACGGGAAACAGCACAACTTTTTTCTATTTTTCAGAGCTCGTCATGATTTCTGTATAGATCTTTTGATGGAACCACCGAATTTTAGCAGGCTCGTCTCAGACGCAAAAGCATCAAACACCAAGAAATCGTTGAATTTTGGAACTTACAAAAATGGGTAATGGTTTTACACTAATTTTACAAAGCAAATGAGCGTTTACCGCTTCAGATTAGCAACTTTCGAAAATTCCGGGTACAGCCGGAGGCGCCCTGGAAAACCTGAATTATGATGATGTTATCTTGGAAAACTTGAGGAATCGGAAACCAAAAACAACTGGTAAAAAGAGGAGAAAAAGCTGCGTCGAATGACACCCGAGTTGCTTGCCGGTTGCTGTTCTGTGAGGTTTGAATTGACCAAATATGGAATTTGATGGCATTTTAAAACTGATTCCAGAAACTCTAAGAAGCAAGCTAAGGAAAAGAAAAAAATTATTCTGTGTCCTATAGGGTTTGCTCTATCTACCTGCCACTTGTATCTTCGGAGAATAGGTACAAAAATTTTAAAAAATTGCCGAACTCGACCACGACAAAAAGCATGAGTTGCAGATTTTGTTAATTTTTCGCAAGCTCAATGAAAGTTGTGCAATGAAATTACAACCATTAGAAAGAGGATGAAATGCTGCATCGAATGCTTTTAAGGTCTCTTGAGAATCTTGATTCCGTGAAATGTGGCGTTCATTTGAAAAATGCGATATTACTTTTGGAACGACCTAATAAAATCAGGGAGAGTAAAAACCCTGCACACCATTTTTCAAATTTTTTGGAGACTTTTTATGAAACATGATTAATCATTTACGCTGTAAAATAAAAATTCCTACCGCAATTCTACAGTAGTGAAGAGTGATCGGTGATTTGCTCCACACTGTAAATCTACGTCAAAGCCAGCTCTACCAAATGACAACGAAGATGGGCAGAAGACTTCTTGGAAAAAGAGATATTAATGATCAAACAGTGTATACATACTTTTGGGACACCCTGTATAATGTTGCACGAGTTAAGACTCCGCGGAGATGTACGACCAGAGCCAAATGCTCCGTCGCCTCTCTAGTCTGTCTCCGCTGCTCGTCTGCGTCTTCGCTACGGGATCTTTCATAACGCCGCAGCAGTCGCAATTGTTTAGGATCTTTCACA